GGGGTTCCTAATAATTTTATACATTTTTATGGAATTTTTGAAAGTGGGCTAAAAAAATAGGTTCTAAGGTGAATTGCCCAAAACAAGAAGATCTATGAAAAGGGGGTTCCACAAGGGGAAAGTTTCATTTCTTTTGTGAAGAAAATAGGCTTACTATCACATGTTTAACTTAAAAAATTTGTTTGAAGGAGTGCCCTTGAAAAATTGATAGATTGGTACAAAAAGAAGATGGTTTTGTGCCAAAATGGGGAAATACAAGAGAGATGGACTCAATACTCAAATCTTAGTATTTTTAACATAAGAAATTGATAATAACAGATCAGAAAAACATTATTTAGAATCTTTAAAAACATGCATTAGAAAAGGAAAGGAAGAGAAGGTTGTGTTTGTGGCTTACCTTCTAAGCTTTGCACAAGAAACTCTCTTCTTCCTCCCTCTTCTCCTCTAGACTTCTCTTCCTTGCTCTCCTCCCTCTCTCTAACCAAAATGTGTGCGTGAGTGAGTGTGTTGTGTGAGTTTGCAAGCTAGGGGGTGTGGTATATATAGGCAATTTGGTGTAAAAGGACATAAAAGCCCTTTAGTTGAAAATGGATGGGAAAGTTAGGATTTTGCTTGGTGTCAAAAGGGATAGGAGTAACTAAGGTGCTAAATCATAGGCTTTGGCATCAATTAGTTGATCTTTAGTTGAAAGGTAACTAGTTTTGAGATTTGCAACCTAGGTCTAGGCCACTAGGTTGTGTTTTTTCCTACAATCTCATGATGGTGTGTCTTGGAAATAGATTTCTCACCTCCTGCAAGGAAGGGCCGGCCATAGGGATGTGAAGGGCCTAATTTTTAATTATTTTATGTTCTAGGCAGATTCTTCTAGGTGTATATGTATATATATAACAAGATTGATGGTACTTCAAGGTACAAGATACAAGTACTAATTTGGGGTAAGTTTAGAATTTAAATAAAGAGTGAGGGCTTGGAGTAAATACATGTAACTTATGTAGAATTAAATTAGGTCAGGGATCCTAATCCGATTAGGGAAATTCCTGTTTCGATAAAAAAATAATAATAAAAAAAAATGCTAACCGACAAGATTTGAATTAATTCAAGTAAACGAGGGGCTTTAAAAAAATAATTCAACATTAGGGTTTTTAAAGTGAATACATATTTCGGGGGCTTTACAACCTATCCCCCTTAAAATAATTTCGTCCCTGAAATTCAACTACATACTGCCTTTGAAAAGCTCGGGGTAGTTTACCTTCACCCAACCCTGGCGTTTCCAAGTAGATTCCTCAATTTCCCGATGACACCATAGCACTTTCACCAATTGAACTATCTTGCCTCTGAGGTTCTTTTCTCGATGATCTTGTATCGCTACCGGTCCTTCTTTAAATGTAACATCTTTGTCAAGACTGATTTCTTTCCATTTGAGGACGTGTGTCGGGTCAGCGATGTATTTTCTCAACATAGATACATGGAAGACATTGTGTATCCTTGCTAACTGCGGGGGTAGAGCTAATCTATATGCTACTTCGCCCACTCTTTCTTTCCAATACCTCAAAGGGTCCAATATATCATGGCGATAGCTTCCCCTTTCTCCCAAAACGTATGACTCCATGCCTGGGTTGCACCTTTAGGAACATGTGGCTACCTATTTCAAACATCAATGGTCTTCTCCTCCTGTCTGCATAATTCTTTTGGCGGTCTTGGGTAGTCTTTAACCGTTGTCCGATCAATTTGACCTTCTTAGTAGTTTCTAGAACAAGTTCGGGTCCTATCAGATTTGCATCACCCACTTCCATCCAACAAATTGGCGATCTGCAAGGTTGTCCGTATAATGCTTCAAAAGGCACCATACGGATGCTAGCTTGAAAGCTATTGTTGTAGGCGAATTCAACTAGGGGTAGGTGCCGTTCCCAACTTCCTTGAAAATCCATTGCGCAAGCTCTCAACATATCTTCGAGTGTCTGGATAGTGCGTTAAGATTGTCCATCTGTCTGCGGGTGGATGGCGGTGCTAAAACACAACTCAGTACCAAGAGCTTCCTGCAGGCTTCCCCAAAATCGAGATGTGAATCGTGGATCACGATCCGACACAATAGATACCGAAATTCCATGTAGTCGAATGATTTCCCCAATGTAGAGTCTGCACATAGACTCTAAGGTGTCAGTCATCTTATACGGTAAGAAATGTGCTGACTTAGTGAGACGGTCCACTATTGCCCATATAGTGGTGCACCCTCTAGGTGACTTAGGCAACCCTGTCACAAAATCCATCGTCACATACTCCCACTTCCATTCGGCTATCGGTAGAGGTTGCAACATTCCCCCTGGTTTCTGATGTTCCGCCTTCACTTGTTGGTAGGTCAGACATTTTGTTACAAATTTAGCCACTTCCTTCTTCATTCCATTCCACCAATACTGCCTCATCAAATCTTGGTACATTTTAGTCCCTCCTAGATGAACCGCGAATGCAGAATGATGACATTCCTTCAGTACCTTTTCTCTAAGTAACTCGTCACTTGGTACAAATAATCTACCTTGGTATCTTAAACTCCCATTGGGGTGAATTACCCAAGCGGGCATGAGCTCTCCTGATTCCAGACGTCCCTTGATGTAGGCTACCTCTTGATCGTGCTTGTGGGCCTGCATGACCTCATTCATCAACTTAGGCATCACCTTCTGTGCACTAAGATATGCCTTTGTATCTTGAGATTCTACTTGGATCCTGAACTCACTGAGTGTTTTAATCATATCCCATTCCTTGACGGAGATCTTAGCCATCACCCCTCTGCTCTTACGACTTAGAGAATTTGCTACTACATTGGCCTTACCGGGGTGATACGAGAGAGTGAACTAGAAATCCTCAAGATACTCCATCCATCGTCTCTGTCTCAAGTTAAGGTCCTTCTGCGTGAATAGATACTTCAAGCTCTTGTGATCTGTGAAAATCTCAAATTGGTCCCTGTACAGGTAATGTCGCCATTGCTTTAGAGAAAAAACCACGGCTGCTAACTCCAAGTCATGGGTGGGGTTGTTGAGCTCATAAGGTTTCAATTGCTTGGATCCATATGCGACTACCTTTCCATTTTGCATGAGCACGCAGCCTAACCCTTCTTTAGACGCATCGCAATACATAGTGTACCCCTCTTCTCGTTCTAGGATGGTCAAAATTGGTGCACTAGTTAACTTCTTCTTCAGCTCCTGGAAGGATTTTTTGCAAGCTTTGTCCCACTCATGCTTTACTCCCTTTTGTGTCAAACGAGTCATTGGTTTAGCTAGTTTGGAGAAATCTTGGATGAACCTCTGGTAATAACCGACCAATCCTAAGAAGTTGTGGATTTCTGACACGGTCTTTGGTTGCCTCTAATCCAATACTGCCTCCACCTTGGTCGGATCCACCGCAATCCCATTCTCTGATACCACATGCCCTAAGAACTTTACTTCATTCAACCAGAACTCGCATTTACTCGCCTTGGCATATAACTGATTATCCCTAAGAACTTGAAGGACAGTCCTTAAATGTTGCTCATGCTCTTCTTTGGATCTTGAATATACCAAGATATCATCAATGAACACTACTACAAACTGGTCAAGCTATGGTCTAAAAATCTTATTCAATAGGCTCATAAATATTGCCGGTGTATTGGTTAGTCCGAAGGGCATTACTACAAACTCATAGTGGCCATATCTAGTACGAAAGGCAGTCTTTGGTATATCCTCCTCCTTGACTCGTAGTTGATGGTAACCTGACCTGAGATCGATCTTTGAATAGCACCTTGAGCCTTTAAGTTGGTCAAAAAGGTCATCAATCCTTGGAAGTGGGCATCGGTTCTTAATCGTGACTCGATTGAGTTGACGATAATCGATGCATAGCCTCAACGATCCATCCTTCATTTTAGCAAACAACACGGGTGCTCCCCACGGCGAAGTACTTGGCCTAATGAATCCGCTCTCGAGCAATTCCTGTAGCTGTGTCTTCAATTCCCGTAGTTCTGCTGGTGCCATGGATATTGGGGTAGTTCCAGGTTGTAGCTCAATGCTAAAATCTACTTCTCGAGTTGGCGGCAATCCTGGTAATTCCGTAGGAAATACATCTGCATAATCGCATACTATGCGCGGAAGTTCTATTTCTCCTTGGCCTTCTTCATTTAGAATCAGGCTTGCTATCCTACCCGCAAGTTGATCGCGCTACTGCATCCGATGTTTTGTTGAAACCATGGGGTCTTGTCTATCCCCCTTAAACTGGAAACGTGTTCTATGTTGTGTATGAGCTACCACTTTCTTCTGACGATAGCCAATCACCGCTCGGTGGGCGGACAACCAGTCCATGCCAAAGATGATATCGAAGTTCGACATTTCCATAACACGAAGGTCGCAAGTTAAGTGTAGGTTCGACATCCCTATCTTACAGTCCTTACAGATCGATCCTACCCGAACGCATCCTCCCATAGGTGACATTACACTCAAGGCAATTGCTAAGGGTTCACATACAAGTTCTAATGACTTAGAACAAGCAGAGGATATGAAAGAATGTGATGAACCGATATCAAATAAAACATGCACCCAAGAATTGTATAGTACTACATTACCCTCAATTACGGACGGGTCCGCCTCTTCCTCTTGCAGGGCAAAGATTCTGCTGGTTGCCTTTTGGTTGCCACTGGTCTTGGTGTTCTGAGTTCCTCCACTCTTCTGGTGCTGCTGCCCGGTAGATCCGATCTTGTTTGTCCAAGGCTTCTGCCCACCTAATGCCTAGACATTTGCTCCAGAACCTCCTCCTTGGTATCTAGATGGGGGGAGTTGGGGGCATTCGCTCTTCTTGTGCCCTAATTGTTGGCAATGAAAGCACTGTATTTGCCCCATCGGCCTTTGTTGATAGCCTCCTCTCTAGATCTGTTGCTACGGTTGCTGTTGCTGCTGTTGTGGTTATGGTCTGGAGTAGGGCTTTGAGGGCATGCTTCCCTTCTGGTTCCTTTGAGGTCCAATAGACGCCTGACTCCCTTTTCTCTAATTCCAAGCTTTCCTGGCGTCGTTTACTTCCCTCTCAGATTCTAATGCCGTTTCCAGTACCTCGGCATATGAGGGGAGTCGTTGTGGAAGAACTCTTCCCCAGATTGTAAGGTCCAGTCCCCACTCGAACATCCTTGCCTTCTCTTCATCATTTGCTACGTATCTAGTTGCGTAACGGGCTAGCTCTTCAAATTTCGAAGCATACTGAGTCACTGTCATATTTCCTTGCTCCAGGTTTTGGATTTCCTTGACTCGTTCTCGGCGGATAATACTTGGGAAATATTTATTTTAAAATAGTTCCCTGAACTGGTTCCATGATAGGCTTGCTACGTCACGAGTGTTCTTGATTAACTCCCACCAATGGTCAGCCTCATCATCGGGCTCGAATATTGCCAAAGCGATTCTATCAGCGGCGTCGGTGATGCCCATGGTGTCTAGCATTTTCTCTATCTGCCGAAGCCAATTCTTAGCTATTTTCGGGTCCGGTATGCCTTTGAACTTTGGAGGCCTCTGCTTCTGAAACTCAGAAAAGAGTCGAGTCCTCTCATTCTGCCGATTGTTCCTTATTTTCCCTAGTTCCTCCAAAATCTGATGACGTAGGTTATTGGGGATGTCAGCCCCTACGGAGATGGGTCCATGTTGATGCCTGGGACAGTTTCGTACATTGTTGCTGGTTTCGGTATAGCCATTAGCTCGCGTGTCTACCATTTTGTTCGTGGCACGTGGTGAGTTGGTTCCCAGTCTGAGAAAATATGACTACTTAGATTTGAAATAAAGGTTCAGTTTCCTTAGGGTGCACTAAAGCAAGTAAAAATCAATAACATAGATCAACACATCATCTATATATATATATATAATAATAGGCATCATTACAAAAGGGCTCCTATATTGGAGTTACATTCAAGAGCATCTACGCATACAAGTTCAAGCTATCTTATTCTAAGGATCCTCATCAGCGGATCTTACAAAAGTCTAGTTTTACTACCCCTCGAATTAGTTCTCGTTTCCCGACCAATCAAAGTCTTCGTCTGGGTCTTCATCAGCGGAGTCGGTGGCTTATCCCGGAGAGTGGGGGGTGTACATTGGTGAGGGGGATTATGTTCAGATGATATGTCTATAGGGTGGGCTAGGTTCACTCCTTGCTGCTCTGGTTGCTGCTTCATATCCATTGGTTGATTGTCGCCTGGCCCGTGGTAACAAGATTCGTGGCTTTCAGCCTAAGTCGGTGCTATTGTGGTCAAAGCTCGGTGTATCAGGGAGTCCATCTTCTGTTCATCTTGCTCCATTCAGACTGCCTTCTTTGCTGCCCGGCTCAGAAATTGCAAACGGCGCCGCACCAAAGACCTCTTCTGCGCCCTCGTCTAGCAGAAGTATTCTATCTCCACCTTACGTATCTCAGTCTTGATCATTTCCTCGGCAGTGATTTCACAGCGTCGGCGGCTAAAGTAGGGGCTGACAGCCATGGGTGGCTTTCAGCCTGAGTCGGTGCTATGGTGGTCAAAGCTCGGTGTATCAAGGAGTCCATCCTCTGTTCATCTTGCTCCATTCGGACTGCCTTCTTTGCTGCCCGGCTCAGAAATTGCAAACGGCGCCGCACCAAAGACCTCTTCTGCGCCCTCGTCTAGCAGAAGTATTCTGTCTCCACCTTACGTATCTCAGTCTTGATCATTTCCTCGGCAGTGATTTCACAGCGTCGGCGGCTAAAGTAGGGGCTGACAGCCATGGCCCTCCTTCCTTGCATACGAAAAACTCCCCATGAGTCGGTACTGACGTAGCCTCCCGATAACATCCTAAGGTGGAAAGATTTTTGTTAGTCAATCTTCTTATAATAGTGTGATAGAATAAAATAAGATAAGGGGTAAGGGCTTCTAGAGTCGCGTATAGGGCTGTGAGCGTTAAGGGTTGAACCTAGGCTCTGATACCAAGTTGTGACGCCTCGATTCAACATTATAGGTTGCAGTCAAGGAAAAGTCACCAGCTAGTCCTATGGTCAATAACCAAGTAAGATCCCAGATCGCCGGAGGAGTCAAAATAGCCTCCCTTCTTAGTCCAGCTTTCTTAGGCAGCGCACTACCTTTTTGACAGATCTTACAAGGCATTGACACAAGGTCTCATAAGCAACGATAAGGTTCATACATAGGATATAAATACATAATAACCACAATTATACTTGCTTCAAAATATTGTTCCATTACATTACATCCCAAAAAGAAAGTTTTAAACTTCATATGAGTCTTACAAAATAACAAAAATGAAATTTTTAGTATTCTTAAGATAGCCAAAAGTCTTCAAAGGTTTCCGGCTCGTCGTCTTCCGCTATGAGTTCTGCTTCGTCACCTGGCATGATACGCCGTGAGCTTTCAATGCCTAGTAAACACACACACACACCCCACCCCTTTTTCCCAGTCCAATACACAATCACAATTATAGCACCGAGTAGTAAAGCATGATAAATACATAAATGATTAAGTTAGATGTCAGTAAACTAGGAATCCCCCAAAGAGATTCCGTCCTCCTAACCACAAGAATCGGACGCGGATTATTCGGTATGCCCCCTCTTTTGCTACTTTATTGCTGAACTAACCTCGGATGCCTACCAACGGTTATATACCACATAGTGCCAACCGTAGGGCCTCAAAAGAGATGGTAAAAATGGGGCCTTGCCCAAATCCCTCCTTACACTAACTACCTAGGGTCCGAATACAACTGCTCCGTTCAAGGGTTCCGAAAACCACTTGCGCAAGGCTTTAACTTTCGAATAGGGAACGCATCCCACCAATCCATATATCACATTTTTTTTTCTTTTCATTACTCAAGTGTTCGAAAACCCAATACCCTCCCAATTAGGTTTTCCGTTGAATTAAGTGTTTTAAGACAAGGTTAGTTCAACTTATAAAACAGTAATATCCACATAAGCATGTATTCTTAAGATGAGAAAGGTAAATAACATGACCACAACACATATATTATGAGGTCAAGATATGATTATAAGCTACAAACATTCTCATGAACTCAAAGGTACAAAACATCCACACCTAACAAAGTTTCCAGATTTAGTATCGCATAAGGATTAAAATGAGAGAGCTATTTTAGATCCTTTACCGGGCTTGGCCTTCCTATGGTTTGTAGAGGATTCAATCTAGTTTCTAGAACATTTTTCGGAATTGGGGTTGCTCTTCCAGATTCTAAGTTATTTAGAAAATTTTCAGCGCTGTCCAGAATCTGTCCAGAATCTGCCCAGATCCATCGACTGTTACGAAAACTTGATTTTCTTGCAAACCGCTCAATGTTTTTTGGTGAAACCAATTTTAGTTGAAAGACAACTTCTCGAGGAAGGTTTTGACATAAAATAGGGGTTCAGAATAATTTTATACATTGTTCTGGAATTTTTGAAAGTGGGCTAAAAAAACAGGTTCTAAGGTGAATTGCCCAAAACAAGAAGATCTATGAAAAGGGGGTTCCACAAGGGGAAAGTTTCATTTCTTTTGTGAAGAAAATATGCTAACTATCACATGTTTAACTCAAAAAATTTGTTTGAAGGAGTGCCCTTGAAAAATTGAGAGATTGGTACAAAAAGAAGATGGTTTTGTGCCAAAATGGGGAAATACAAGAGAGATGGACTCAATACTCAAATCTTAATATTTTTAACATAAGAACTTGATAATAAAAGATCAGAAAAACATTATTTAGAATCTTTTAAAACATGCATTAGAAAAAGAAATGAAGAGAAAGTTGTGTTTGTGGCTTACCTTCTAAGCTTTGCACAAGAAACTCTCTTTTTCCTCCCTCTTCTCCTCTAGACTTCTCTTCCTTGCTCTCCTCCCTCTCTCTAACCAAAATGTGTGTGTGAGTGAGTGTGTTGTGTGAGTTTGCAAGCTAGGGGGTGTGGTATATATAGGCAATTTGGTGTAAAAGGACATAAAAGCCCTTTAGTTGAAAATGGATGGGAAAGTTAGGATTTTGCTTGGTGTCAAAAGGGATAGGAGTAACTAAGGTTCTAAATCATAGGTTTTGGCATCAATTAGTTGATCTTTAGTTGAAAAGTAACTGGTTTTGAGATTTGCAACCTGGGTCTAGGCCACTAGGTTGCGTTTTTTCCTACAATCTCATGATGGTGTGTCTTGGAAATAGATTTCTCACCTCCTCCAAGGAAGGGCCGGCCATAGGGATGTGAAGGGCCTAATTTTTAATTTTTTTATGTTCTAGGCAGATTCTTCTAAGTGTATATGTATATATATATAACAAGATTGATGGTACTTCATGGTACAAGATACAAGTACTAATTTGGGGTAAGTTTAGAATTTAAATAAAGAGTGAGGGCTTGGAGTAAATACATGTAACTTATGTAGAATTAAATTAGGTTAGGGATCCTAATCCGATTAGGGAAATTCCTGTTCGATAAAAAAAAATAATAAAAAAAAATGCTAACCGACAAGATTTGAATTAATTCAAGTAAACGAGGGGCTTTAAAAAAATAATTCAACATTAGGGTTTTTAAAGTGAATACATATTTCGGGGGCTTCACAACGTATCCCCCTTAAAATAATTTCGTCCCCGAAATTCAACTACATACTGCCTCTGAAAAGCTCGGGGTAGTTTGCCTTTACCCAATCCTGGCGTTCCCAAATAGATTCCTCAACTTCCTGATGACGCCATAGCACTTTCACCAAGTGAACTGTCTTGCCTCTGAGGTTCTTTTCTCGATGATCTTCTATTGCTACTGGTCCTTCTTTAAATGTAACATCTTTGTCAAGACTGATTTCCTCCCATTTGAGGACGTGTGTCGGGTCAGCGATGTATTTTCTCAACATAGATACATGGAAGACGTTGTGTATCCTTGCTAACTGCGGGGGTAGAGCTAGTTTGTATGCCACTTCGCCCACCTTTTACAATATCTCATTAAAGGGTCCAATATATCGTGGTGTCAGCTTCCCCTTTCTCCCAAAACGTATGACTCCACGCCTGGGTTCCACCTTTACGAACATGTGGCTGCCTACTTCAAACATCAATGGTCTTCTCCTCCTGTCTGCATAATTCTTTTGGCGGTCTTGGGCAGTCTTTAACCGTTGTCGGATCAATTTGACCTTCTCAGTAGTTTCTAGAACAAGTTCGGGTCCTATCAGATTTGCATCACCCACTTCCATCCAACAAATTGGTGATCTGCATGGTCGTCCGTATAATACTTCAAAAGGCGCCATACCGATGCTAGCTTGGAAAGCTATTGTTGTAGGCGAATTCAACTAGGGGTAGGTGTCGTTCCCAACTTCCTTGAAAATCCATTGCGCAAGCTCTCAACATATCTTCGAGTGTCTGGATAGTGCGTTCAGATTATCCATCTGTCTGCGGGTGGAAGGCGGTGCTAAAACACAACTCAGTACCAAGAGCTTCATGCAGGCTTCTCCAAAATAGAGATGTGAATCGTGGATCACGATCCGACACAGTAGATACCGGAATTCCATGTAGTCAAATGATTTCCCCAATGTAGAGTCTGCACATAGACTCTAAGGTGTCGGTCATCTTATAGGGTAAGAAATGTGCTGACTTGGTGAGACGATCCACTATTACCCATATAGCGTCGCACCCTCTAGGTGACTTAGGCAACCCTGTCACAAAATCCATCGTCACATACTCCCACTTCCATTCGGCTATCGGTAGAGGTTGCAACATCCCCCCTGGTTTCTGATGTTTCGCCTTCACTTGTTGGCAGG